TGAAATACAAACAATTTTTAAATCAGGATCGATGACAATGTCTTCTTTTATGAATCCTCCATTATAACTAAACATATTATCAACATAATCCATTGATCCTCCATAATGCACTTTCAGTTTTAGGGATTATGAATCACTGTATATAAAGCAAACACCATAAATCGATTGTATATAAAGCAAGCTCATATTATTCATACGAAGAATCGAACCAAGAAACAAAACACTCAAACTTCGCCATTAAAATCGATTCTAATCAACAATCCATCCCTAATCGAATTCAAAACAAAAATAAAAAACTTTCGATTCATCGAAATCTCTAAAATTGAAAGCATAAATCGATTATAAACAAAATACCTCATCTTCTCACTCTCGCGCTTGTACCAATACCGTATATGCGTTCGATTCAGAACATGACAACAATCTTCATAGTTTTTAGTGCTTTTTTAAGAGTCGATTTTAGTTGAGAGAAGAGAAAAAAAGAAATTAGAGTTTTTATGCCCAAATCGATTTGGGGGAAAATTTACCGTTAACCCGTGTTAATTAGACTAACAGCGTTTAATGCTCGTTAACAGAAGTTAACCTCCGTCAATTCCGATCCGTAAAACTTACAAAATTCGAAAGTTTGTGTATTAAAAAGACAATATTATTTAGTTCATATCTTTTTCAGACAACCAAAAAAGTCTATTTTTTTTTTTTATAGAAATAATATATTTCGGGTATTTTTCGGGGTTTTTCCCTTTTTTATAAAACTGGAAAACCAAAAAAAACCTTACAAAATACAAACGGTTTTTAAAATAACTTGCTTGATGCTTTATGAATCCAACAAATCTACAAAAGTCGATTTGTAAGCGAACCGACTAGTAAAAACGCCCATCCCTAGTAAGATAGTCTAATGACGGGACGATACATATATCGATCGGGCTGTAAAGTTGTTATTTCCCCACGTCACTCTTCTCCCTTCCCTTCGACGATGCTTGCTCTCGTCGCTTCTCCTCCGCTCATTTCCGCCGCTTCTCTATCTAAACCTCTCCGTTCTATCTCTAAAGGCGCACTCCCTCTATCCAGAGCCAAACCCATTTGCCCTTTCCCTCAAACCTCTCGACCCATCTCCGTCTACAAACCCCCGATGAACAACCTCTTCAACAGGCTCGGCTTCGGGTCTCGACCCCAACAAGACCCTTCTTCCGCCGCAATCGCCCAAGGACCCGACGATGATGTTCCGTCTCCAGGTCAGCAGTTCGCCCAATTCGGCGCCGGTTGCTTCTGGGGAGTGGAGCTGGCTTACCAGAGGGTCCCTGGCGTTACCAAGACCGAGGTCGGGTATAGCCATGGGCTCATCCACAATCCCACTTACGAGGATGTCTGTACGGGCACCACGGGACACAACGAGGTCGTTCGGGTTCAGTACGACCCGAAAGAATGCAGCTTCGAGACTTTGCTCGATGTCTTCTGGGATCGCCATGATCCCACCACCCTGAATCGCCAGGTCACTGCTTTATCCCGAAAAATCTAGACTTGATTGCATCTCCATTTCAATTACCTTGGCAACTAGTGATAGAGACCTTAATATGCTTCCGGATTTGGTAGGTTTGGCTTGTTTTTGCTCTGTGAAGACTTGTTATGTCATTGTCAGAGCTAAAATCAGGATGGTCTTTGTCATGTTGGATTTTGTGGAAGTCATATTGCCATTTTCAATATGCTTCTTCTGGTTTTGACTCGAATCTGCTCTTTATACTGAGGACGTGTTTAGTATGAGGATGTTGTTGTGCGGTCCTTAACATCTCTTACTGACTTTTGTGTGTGAGATGTATCTTGAATGTGTAGGGGAATGATGTGGGAACGCAGTATCGATCAGGTATATACTACTACACAGAAGAGCAAGAGCGATTAGCTCGTGAAGCGGTGGAGAAACAGCAGAAGATCTTGAACAAGAAGATTGTGACAGAGATACTTCCTGCCAAGAAATTCTACAGAGCAGAAAATTACCACCAGCAATACCTGGCAAAAGGCGGTCGTATGGGTCTTAGACAATCTGCTGAGAAAGGTTGCAAAGATCCTATCCGATGCTATGGCTAAGTCAGTAGCCAGTCCTTCAAGCACATAAAAGAAGTGAGTTATCTCATGAATATACAACACTATGTAGATCATGTTCGTGTCTTGTCTTTTGGTCATTTCGTATTACTATGTCCAATGGTAGAAGTGAGCTATCTCATGAAAATAATATACTCTGTTGATCACATTCGTGTCTTGGTATTAGTACTATATCGAATGGCGATGAATGGTGTGGTACTTTTTTTTCTAGTGTTACAAAATCAACCATAAGCTTCAAAATCAACTTTTTTCTAGTGTTACACCACCAGACCATATAAATTTGAGAATATCTTATTAATATCCAACCATTCTCTTTTGATTTGTCATTAGACACATACTAATAAGCATCTCTCAGATCATATGTTGGATCACGTTATCTCGTCTATCTGGATTGAATGTTGTAATTGAAAACTGCTAAAATTTCTCAGTAATTGCTTCGATTCTGCCAGCCGATCCCTTCACCTGAAGTTCAGAAGAAGGTGCTGCAAGTCTTGATCTCCGAATTTTTTTTTTTTTTGCTTAGGAAACCAGAAAGAAGCAAAACAATGAGCGATCACCTGAGAAAATATGAAACGAGAATTTCTATTTTAAAAGCGATAGACACTGAGGAGCTAAAAGAAACACAAATGTTGAGAATGAGAGTGATATTCCCGAGAAAATTTCGGAAAATCAAAGAATAAGGTTCAGCAGTTCATGGTTGTTCAAATAATCATGATTGGAGGGGAACCTAGTTAGGGCTGTGCAACGTACAACCTCAGTTTTGCACTCAGTCACATGATTTTAAGATACTTTAAGAAAACGTCCAATGAAAAAAATGGAGTATTATCAAAGTTTTGGTGGAGTTGTTAGAAAATCAAGCGTGTGGTTCATAAAATTATCGAGCAGCCTCTTATCACGTCTATTAAGGAGATACTATTTCTCATATGAGGAATTTTTTAAAATTACCCAAAGCCAAAAATTATTCTGTGGATGGTAATTGATCCTCTAAGGAAGCGATCTTTTGTTAAGTAGGATGCCCTGCTAGAAAGGCAATGGTGGAGATATAAAGGTATGTTTGTATTCATGGTGTGACATCCGTAGAGCCGACCTTGAGTTTTAGAAGACCACAAGCGGAAAAAGGCTGTTTTGCACATTTTCATATTTTTTGTTTAGAATTTAACATTTCAAAATGAATGTGATAGACAAAATCATAAGTATTTTAAAGCACAAAAAATAACATTGTTTTTTTTTTGTCAACAATCACCATTATATTAAATCAAGTTGTTACCGATTGGATGGTTTCCCTGACGGGTTACCTCAAACGGAAATATCTGACTTACATGGGAAAAAAGAACATTGTTCTTTATTCTCCATACAGTTTTTACATGTGAATTCATTCATAAAACTTGTAGTGTTCATTTTTCTGTAAATCATCTTTTGAAAAAACTCTGTAAAAAATAATAATTTTGGTTGTTTTTTTTGTTTTGCTCAAGAATTTGTGGTTAGTCTTAATGAGACGTAAAACACT